CTGGCTCCTGGCTTCAGATTGGCACGGTGCACTGGCTGTAGCAGCCATTTGAGGGGTGAACCAACGGAAGGAAGACCTTTCTCTCTGTCTCTGTCTCTCTCTCTCACTGTCTAACTCCGCCTGTCAAAAAAACCCACAATTAATTAATTAATTGTATATATTGAAATAGCCAGTAATGTGAATGTAAGGTTTCCCAACAGAAAGAAATGATAAATGTCAGAGGTAATGGAAATCCCAGTTACCTTGATGTGATCATTCACACTGTATATGTGTACTGAGATGTCACACTGTACCCTACACGTATTTACAATGACTGTGTCAACTAAAAATACATTAAAAATAATGATATAAGTTAAAAATAAAGTTATAGAAAAAGATGCACTATAAAAATACCAATCAAAAGAAAGCTTGAATGTAACACTTATGGTCAATTTTTATAAAAGAGATGGATAATTCAGAGGGGTCAGATACCTATTTTTCTTTTCAACATGTGGTGCTAAGACACCTACATATTATATGCAAAATAAATCTGAACTCTTACTTCACATAATCCACAAAAATGTAACTCAAATAATATAATAAGAGCTAAAACAATCAAATATCTAGAAGAAAAGAAAATCTTCATGACCTTGGGATAGGTCAGAGTTTCTTGCTATTGACTTTATGGACCAGATAATTCTCTTTGGTGGGGCTGTAGGATGTTTAGCAAAATCATTGGCCTCTACCCATCAGACTTCAGTAGCAAACCTTTCCCTATATAACAGCCAAATATACCTCCACTCATTGCCAAATGTCCTTTCAGGGGGCAAAGTTGTCCCCAATGAGAACCACTAGGTAGGCAAAGACTTACTACATATGACACCAAAAACACAGTGATAAAAGCAAAAGATGTTAACTTAGATTTTACCATTAGAAATTTTTGTCCTTCAGAAGACTCCTTTAAGAAAAAAAAAAAGACTTGGGGCCTGCGTTGTGGTGCAGCAGGTTAAGCCTCTGCCTGCAGCACTCATATCCCATTGGGCATCAGTTCATGTCTCAGATGCTCCACTTCCAATTCAGCTCCCTGCTAATGTGTCTGGGAAAGCAGCAGAGGATGGTCTTAGTACTTGGGTCCCTGCACCCATGTAGGAGACTGGGAAGAAGCTCCTGGATCCTGGCTTCAGCCTGGCCTAGCTCTAGCCATTGCAGCCATTTGGGGCGTGAACCAACAGATGGAAGATCTCTCTCTCCGTAACTCTGCCTTTCAAATAAATAAATAAATCTTTAATATAGAGAAAACTAGCTCTGTACACTGAGAGAAAACGTTTATAAATCATATGTCTAAAGGACTTGCATCCAGAATATAAAAAAAGACTCTCATAATTCTAAAGAAGAAAACAACCAAATCTAAATATGGACAAAAGAGTTGCACAGACAATTCAACAAAGAATATCTGGATTGCAAAGGGTACATAAAATATGTTCAGTATTCTCAGTCCTGTTACTGTACGTATGCCAAATCAAATCCACAATGAGAAACCACTCTATTGGCTATAAGGAACCCAAAAATAATGTTGACAAGGATGTAGAGAAACAGAAATTCACATATTTGCTGGTGAGAATACAAAATGGTATAGTCTAACTTTGGAAAACCAGTTTTGTAATTGAAGAACTTATACTTTTCACTCCTTGTTTTCCACCCAAGAGAAATGAAAACAAATATTTATATGTTAGTATCCATAGTAGCACTACTCATAATTACTAAAAAACAATGGAAACCATCAAAATGTCTATTGAATGATGAATGAACAAACAAAAGGTGTGTATCAGGATAATGAAATACTACTCAGCAGCGAAAAGGAACTGAAGTATTGATAGATACCACAAAAAGTATGAACTTCAAAAACATTGTGGTATATGCATGGAGCTAGATGTAAGACCACTTATTTCACAGCCTCATCATGGAAAAGCAAGTCTACAATGGTAGAAGTAGGTTAATGGTCACTTGTTAATGAGAGGTAAAAGCTAGGTGATGTAAACAGGTAAGAGCCTGGAAAATTCTGAGATATAGAAATGAGGAGTCTCTAATACTATTAGATAATTTTGAATATTAAAGAATTATAGTGATTAAAACAGCATACCGCTGACCTGAGATGGGCAATGCAATGAAATATTATAGCTCAGAAAAAGAACCAAGGATGGATAGCCATTTGGAAGAAAATAAGAAATTGCATCCATACTTCATATCTTATATAAAAATGAATTCAAAATGGACTGAAGCCTTAAATATTTTAAAGCATTATAAAAGTACTAGAAGAAAATAAAACATGGGAAAGCTTTGTTAATTTTATATAATTGAGGATGTTTTCCAAAATATGACATGAAACCTATCAAAAATAAAAAGGAAAAATGCCTTAAATTTGACTAAATTGTATATGACAAAACCAAACTAAGATAAAAAAATTACCAACTGAAAGACCAAAGGAAAAACTTACACGTAATATCAAAAAGGCTGATTCCTTGTAATATATTAAATTCATACAAAACAGTTATACATCTTAATACAACCATTGGCAGAGGTTATGTACAAACAATTCATTCACAATAAAAGGGAAATTCAAATAGTTCTTTAACTATGCAAAGACATTCTCACTCCATACTTATGAGACAAATGTGAAGTAAAGGCAACATGGGGCAAACACCAAAAATTTAGTAGCCACTTTTGGTTAAAATGTGGGGAAACAATCACTCTCCTGTTGTTTTAACAGGTGGGCAAATTGGTACAAGCTCCTTGAAAGGCAACCTCGGAATACACATAAAATGTGTGCACATTCATGGTGATCTTGAAGTTCCTTTCTTAACTTTTTAGCACACACATTTGCACCTGTGCAAAATTATGTGTATTCAAGAATATTCAGTACAACACTGCTTGTAACACAAACTACTGTACCTGAAATGTCCATACACAGGGAATTGATTAAACAAGTAACAAACTTTTATAATGAAAGTAGTATGGAGCCATTAGAAAGAACGTGGCAGCTGTATATTTGCAGAAGTGTATATGTATGTATGTGTAATTATTTGAACATTTTTTATATGAGTACTGCTCGTGTATGCATAGATTCTCTGGAAGAATAAACAAGAAATTGAACAGAATGGTTTCTTTCTCACCAGAGGAAAATGGAATGGAGGATATGAATGAGGAAAAAATCCTTCATTTTCACTTTGCATCCTTTTGTACTTTTGGATTTTGAACTACACACACATACTACTTATTTAAAAATAAGTACAAATGTATTTACAGTGATTACACCGCTCACATGAACCCCAAGTGTCACTGGGTTCAGTCACCTGCATCAATATGAGATCATTTGTGCCCATTAAAACTCTCTCCTCTACCAAAAAATCATTTTTGGATAGTTTCTTAGGTATATACATCATCCAATTGTCCTAAAAATATGCTGATATTAGGTACACACCTATTCATTGGTTGAAGTTTGAATATGCTGCCCCCTCTGTTTCCCCATTCTTTTCCTTTAATAGCATCAATAACTGTATTTACCAGACTGGAAAAAGATGTGGTAGTGCATGTGTGTGCGTGTGTGTGCATGTGTGCAGAAAGGGCGGGGGATTGCAAGTCTACTTTCCCCACTTTAGATAAATACATTACAGACATTCCAATTCAAAATAATCTCAAACATATTATGTATGTTGCAGATGATGAATCTGACTTAAAAGATGGCTACAGAACAAAAGTGTTTTTCACACATTGCACACATGAAGGCTGTGTTGTGCCAAAATAGATGTTGTGCAGACTGGAGACCCCGTAAGGAGACAGAGCTTGGCAAGGGCCCTAGGGATACATCTGGTATTAGGACTTCATGTTCTGTCCTCCAGCCCAGATGGGAATGTACACACAAATCACCTGGATAATTAGCTAGAATGAAGACTAATATAATAGGTCTGGAGGGATTCTACACTTTTTACAAGCTCCCTGGTGATGCCAAGGCTGCTGGTCCATAGATTACCCTTTGAATAGCAAGTATAGTCTTGCTAAGACTAAAGTCAACATCATGCATTTTTTTTTAATTTAGACTTGGTATAGCTTAACCTGGATGTATATCATCCAGTGTCTTCTACTTATCAGATAAACCCAATTATGAGAGTTACCAATACCACTTATTAAACAAAGAATCTCACATCTTCTAGTTTCTATGAGGATGAATTTTTCTAAATAACCTCAGCCTCTTCAGCAACCCCTTAACTAACTGATAACAGCCACTGTTCAAGAGCAGACATTGAGAGATTCCCTCACCCCAGTATGAAGCAGCAACTTGGGGAAGTGTGCATGCTTTCTAGACTCAAACTTGGACTTGGGTGAGAAGTTCCACAGCTCCTCAGAGGCCTTTGGTGAAGAAGCAAGGACTTAGAGGGTACAATTACTTCTAACAGTAGTAACAGTGACAAGTTGGTTTCCCATTTCCCTGATTCTTGCATCTTAATTCTCAACTGATTTGGGACTTAGGGTGAGGGGATGTGGGGAATTGCTTATTGAATCCTTTGAAATGCCAACACCATCTAGACAACAAACTAAGAGGGTCATGTCATTTCAGAGAGCATAAATTCAGAAACTTTGTCACTGTAGCCAGTGCATCACAGGAGTGCTTCCCAACAGTTCCACTTCACTCTGTAGGTAATGCTGTCATATCCAAGTCAGCCTAAAACCCAGAGTTAAGCTGATTCCTTCAGTGCTTTTGTTGGAGGTTCTTGATCTGTGCCCTTACACCAATAAATTCAGAAAACAGAGAAAACCATCATTTCATCTCTCCCTTTGCTCATCCTCATGCTTCTTAATGGGTGAAATCTAAGTTTATGTTATCCATTATCTCTGCTGAGAGACATCATCTTAAATTCCTGCTGTTCCTATTCTATCCCTTCTGGGGGCTCTCTGCCTGTTCAGAAAGGAATCCCAAGTTAGCCCTTAGTAAAGACTTTCACACTCCTCTGAATGTTCATCCTTACCTTCTCCTGGATCCCTTCGTCATCACCAGCAAAGTACAAAATAGGGACATTGAGCTCAGAGGCAGCTACCCACTGAAGGACGGCTTGGAGTTGCTTGTTCTGAACTGTGTCAGTGAGGTTGTGATTGCTGACTATCACCTTGGGTGCACACCCTTCAAGGGGCTGCCCTGAGATACCTCTCAATTCATTATGGATTGCTTGATAGGCATTCTGCAGGAGAGCTTCTGCTGTCCCTGTGCCTTTGACTGGCAAACACTCATAGAGATTATCAGGGAAGGCAGAATTTGGCCTGCCGGCATCCCCAGACTTGTCTTCAGCTAGTTCTGCCAAGGGAGAGTCGCAAGACTTGGCAATTATGAGGCACAGCTTCATCACGGAGTCCATCAGGTGTTCTACCATCTGCCCATTCATGTGGCCATCCAGCTGGTTGGCAACCATCTTGGTCAGCCCAGAAAAGGCGCCCCCAGTCTCATCGCCTTCATTTAGTTTGATGGGAGAAGGTGTTACAGGTCTCTCACAGTGGCGACTACTTTCTTCCTTAGCTGGCTGTTCTGGCATCTTGGGTTCAGGGCTATTGTCACTCTTGAAAATGGTCTCCCCAAGTAAGTTCCGGATAAAATTGAAGAAGACACTCATGAGGTCCTTCTTTTCGGCTTGCTCTTGGTCACCAACCACATGAGGAATCTTAAGGCTGGACTCGTCAGGAACTACAGGGCACTTCTTGGTGGGAAGGTTGGTGCTGCCCGCAGCTTCCAGGAAGCTCTGTGCATCCATCCTTCCGCCCTGGGCGAGGTGGTATTGAATTAGAAGTAGAGCAGATACAATCAGGTCTTTGGCCCAGGAGTCTGACTCGTACATAAAATTCTCAGGTTGCTCTGGTTGATGCAGCAGGGGGCTGAGGGTGCAAGTATCCTGGGGAAACCCAAAAGGAATGTCTGGTGCAGGTTTATACTGTTTGTTGGGAGCTGAAAATGTTACATGCTCAAAACCTGGAGACTTACGTTCAAAACCTGGAGACTTACGTTCTAAACTTGGAGACTTACGTTCAAAACCTGGAGACTTGCATTCTTTCTGTTGACTTTTATGCCACATGGTCAGTCCCTCTTTGATAATGTGCTCACCCAGAGTCTCCGCACAAGTCTTCTCCTTCTCAGGCTTGGGGGCAGAATACATTTTTTCTCTCAACTTAGCTTCAGATCTCATTGCAAAGTTTACATTTCGGTTTCTAGGGTCACCCATTCCTTTCATGGACATGAGGGAATAACTCTCTTGCTTGTCCTTAGTTTTCCTGAGGTTCTCAGGAAATTTCTTGGTAAACATCACAGTGTATAGCTTACCCAGCATGGCATCCATGATGTCCGTGGCCTTTTGGCTTCCATGAGAGAAGAAGCTTCTTTTCACAGCTGAGACAAAGTCTGTATCAGTCATCAGGGTCCCTGTGACATTGTGGAGGTTCTTCATGAAGGAGTCAATGAGATCAGAGACCACTTCTTTGGCATGCTTGATCAGTACCTTCTTCAGCAGGATGGTGGCAATGGTTGTATCTTTCACCTGGATCCTCAGTGTCTTCATGATGGAGACCATCATGTCAGATACCACGCTATTAGCATAGGTCATGATCCCTTGACTAATGGAAGTTGTAAAGTCATCAGGCCTTTCCTGACCCCTAAACAGCTTCCTCTCTCCAGGTAACCTTCCACCCTCTCGGGCATCACCTGCATTACGAGACTCAAATACTTCCTTATAGAAGAAAGACTTCCGAGAAACAGGTTTGTCCTCTGCACCCTTGCTTTCCACGGTGCTCTCCTTGATCTTCAAAGTAGACTTCTTTTTCAAATTTGGGATATTGGATGATCCAGAGGCTCGGTCTCCAGAACCGGGAGCCTTGTCTGAGTCATTATTCTTGGAACATGCAGAGACGGTCTCATTCACCAGCTCGGATGCTACCTTACTCAGGCTTTTGGTGGGTGCAGGTTCATCCCCCATGTACAATGACTGATGAATGCATTTCTTTTCTGAACCATCAATCTTCTCATTGATCTCTTTGCGGGCCATAGCTATAACTAGATTTGTGAGGCGGTTGGCATAGAAGGAAACTTCATCCACTGATCTTCCATTGCCAGGTACGGCACCGGGGCCCTGGGCAGGACTCTCTTTGTGAGTTATCTCAAAATGAAATCTCCCTGGGCTGCCTTTGTTGGTGGTGTTGTAAGCATCCACAGAGAAACCTCTGTGTGGGTCTCCTATGTTGGTCGTTTCTTCGCCAAATGGTGATTCTCCAGGCTTGAACCGAACATCTTGGAACCCCGCTGTACTTTTTTCCAGGTCTCGGCGGAGCCAGCTGAGCACTCTGACAGGATCTTTTGAGACTTCCTTGAGAACAGACAAGGATTCATCTGACTATAACAAAGTAAAGATAGGGAAGGTTCAGGACAACCTCAAAAGGCAACCACAAGAACCGTCAGCACCAACCCCCACCCCCGCAAGCTTGCTCTGTCATCACAAGAAGAGTAACCATTTACTGAGTGCTTACTATGTATCAGGAACTGCTCTAAGTATCTTAAGACTATTATCTCATGCAATATTGTTCTCATAACAAACTTGAATATTAGCTCTCATATTATCCTTGTGGTATGGACTAACACATTGAAGAACTGACTGGTTAAACTACTCATATGAAGTTATCCAGCTGATTGTTGATGAAGTAGGAATTCCAATATAGGCAGTCTAACTCCAATGCCCATACTCTCAGCTATCACATTCTGTTGCTTCTCACAATATACAAGGTGTCTCCATGGAGAGATGGGCATTTGGAACAGAGGTTAAGACATGGCTTGGGATGCCTGCATCCCATTCTGGATTATCTGGGTTCAAGTCCAAGTTCTGCTCCTGATTCCAGTTTCCTGCTAATGCACACCCTGGGAGGAAGTAGGTAATGGCTCAAGTAGATAGGTCCTTGCCACCCATGTGGGAAAATGGGGTTGATTCCTGGCTTCTGATTTTGACTTGGCTCAGCCCTGGCTGTTGTGGGCATCTGGGGAATGAACTAGCAGATGAGAGTCCTCTCTCTCTTACTCTCTTTCTCTCTCCCTTTCACAATAAATAAAACAGTTAAATAAATTTGAAGAACTTTTGAAGTTTATGAAATATGTATCATGCAGAAATATGCATGAATTTCTAAATCTTTTTGCACTGAAATAAGCTTGTCCTTCAAACCGGCACCCATATGGGATGCTGGCACTGCAGACCGACGCTTTAACCCACTGCAGCACAGTGCCAGCCCCTCAAATATAGGTCTTTAAAAGGACTAATTTTGAATATGCAATTATTTCAATCTTCAAAATATACTTACTTAAAATATATTAAAAATGATGCAGATACATTATGGAATCATGGTTCCTAAAATGTAATTACTGTATATAATTTAAAATAATTGGTTAAACATGAAAAAAAAAAAGAAATAATCTTGTCTTTTAATTCCACTTACATGAACCTTTAAAAGTACCTTAAGATCTCACAGTCATCAGATGTGTAGAATCAGCATTTAAACTGAATCAGTATACTTTGTCTTGTATTGACATTAATTGCTATTTTCACATTAATTGCTATTTTCTATGTGGCTTATCTCATTTTATTTAGGTCTCTTATTACAAACATAGTTTTTTTTATTTATTTCCTTTTTTTTTTTTTTTGACAGGTAGAGTTATAGATAAAGAGAGAGACAGAGAGAAAGATCTTCCTTCCGTTGGTTCACCCTCCAAATGGCTGCTACAGCCGGAGCTGCGCTAATCCAAAGTCAGGAGCCAGGTGCTTCTTCCTGGTCTCCCATGCGGGTGCAGGGCCCAAGCACTTGGGCCATCCTCCACTGCCTTCCTGGGCTAAAGCAGAGAGCTGGACAGGAAGAGGAGCAACTGGGACTAGAACCCGGCGCCCATCTGGGATGCCAGAGCTGCAGGCAGAGGATTAACCAAGTGAGCCATGGTGCTGGCCCCACAAACATAGTTTTCTAAAAAGGGAAAATTATATGTGATTAATCTCTTTGCTGGATAATTAATAACAGCACAGTCTGATATGCAAAATGGCTTTCAGTGGACTAGGTGACATCTCTTAACATGACTTATAACTGGGAAGTTATTATCTGTGGGCAATGTATTAGTTTTGTGTGATGGACACATTGATGTCTTTGATAGACATTAGAGGTGATAAGCACATGAACAAATGTACATGTCTCCATGTTATAATCTACGTGAGGAAACAACTCTTCACTGGAACATAGGATACAATAGGATGATGTATGCGAAAGTGACCTACTTGTCAAATGTAAAAAATTATCTGAGTTCATGTGTTTATCTGGGAATGACCATAAATACTGCTCATCTCTAAAAAATAATTTAGTATTTTTATTACTGCACAGTGTCCTACAATTACTAGCTCCTATGTGTTAAATGCTTATGTTTGCCAGGCACTGTGCTAAATGTTTTACATACATTATTTTTTTTTTGACAGGCAGAGTTAGACAGTGAGAGAGAGAGAGAGAGAGAAAGATCTTCCTTCTGTTGGTTCACCCCCAAAATGACCGCTCCGGCTGGCGCGCTGCGCAGATCCGAAGCCAGGAGCTCCCATGTGGGTGCAGGGCCCAAGGACTTGGGCCATCCTCCACTGCCTTCCCGGGCCACAGCAGAGAGCTGGACTGGAAGAGGAGCAGCCAGGACAGAATTGGCGCCCCAACTGGGACTAGAACCCGGGATACTGGCACCACAGGTGGAGGATTAGTCTAATAGCCATCATACATTATTTTGTTTAATTCTACTACTCACACTTCAAAGGTAGGTTTTACTCTTGCAGTTACACAGGTAAGAAAACAGAAGCCTGGATAAGTTGAGTAATTTGGTTACCATCTCACAGTTAGTACATGATAGGGGCAAGTGTTCAAAGCCAGTTAATTTAAAAACAAGCTTTATGTGGGAAGCAGAGAGACAGATAGAGAACTTCTACTTGCTGGCCACTCCTCAAATGCCTGCAATGGTTAAGGCTGGACAGGGCATCAAGATGGAAATCAGCAACTCAATCCAGGTCTCCCCATGTGGGTGGCAGTAACCCAATTGCTTGAGCCATCATCTACTGCCTCCCAGAGCCTGCACTGCAGAAAGTTCTAGTCAGGAGCCAGAGTCAGAGACCAAACCCACATACTCTGATATGGAATGTAGGCGTCTTAATTGGTATCTTTTTTTTTTTTTTTTTTTTTTTTGACAGGCAGAGTGGATAGTGAGAGAGAGAGACAGAGAGAAAGGTCTTCCTTTGCTGTTGGTTCACCCTCCAATGGCCGCCGCGGCCGGCGCACTGCGCTGATCCGAAGCCAGGAGCCAGGTGCTTCTCCTGGTCTCCCATGGGGTGCAGGGCCCAAGCACTTGGGCCATCCTCCACTGCCTTCCCGGGCCACAGCAGAGAGCTGGCCTGGAAGAGGGGCAACTGGGACAGAATCCGGTGCCCCGACCAGGACTAGAACCCGGTGTGCCAGCGCCGCTAGGTGGAGGATTAGCCTATTGAGCCACGGTGCCGGCTTAATTGGTATCTTAAAAACTGGATCAAATGCCTGCCCTTCAGATCCACTCCCCACCATTGCAGTACCATATGTTTTTGATGACTTTGAAGGTTAGAGAAGCAGATGCACAAGCACTCTGTGGGGTTGAATTAAGGTTCCTATTAACCACATATGGTTAAGGGCCATAGTGCTTGGTTCAAAATTCTCCCAAATGGCTCTCCAAATTTGAATAGTTACTCTAGGGAAAATTTTGTGCTTCAGTGGAGAATACACATTGTCTATGGCATACCTTCCACATTATCAGATTATCTATAGCAGCAGATAACTGACAACAATGCAATATAATTCCTGTCTACACACAGATAACGAGAGCTTGACTGATTTCCTCTCCTCCTATAAAAATTTTCAGGTTTGTCCCCTTTTGTGTGTCCACTCCAGTATTTCTGATCTATATTATGTGTCTTTTGAGCCTCACCAGTTCCTCATTCACGAGTTAAAAAAGATCTGTGTCCATTTTGTACACGTATAATTATGAGGGTCATGATTGTATCCTTCTCTGAAAACTATCTTTTAATGGTTTTGGAAGTTTTCCACCAAGATACCCAACAGATTCACCCAAGGTCATCATAAGTGATGGGCATCATCAGGTGTGTCTTTTCTTGGTCCCCAGAGCGGTAATAGAACTTTCCAGACCTTCTATTTTCTTAGTTTCATTTTTGGTTTTAGTTTTGGTCCATTGATGGTCAATAATTACTGGTGACAGCAAAGATGGGGAGTTTTATTGTTTGATCATTGAGTAACTGCTCTCTTTTTCAAAAAATAATGGTGAGTTGAAACATTTTTATTTTTCAAAATATTTTCATTTTATTTATTTGAAAAGCGGAGTTACAGAGAGAGAGAGAGAGAGAAATCTTCCACCTGCTGGTTCACTCCCCAAATGGCCACAATGGCCAGTGCTGGGCCAGGCCAAAAGCCAGGAGCCAGGAACTTTACCCTGTTCTTCCACACGGGTAGCATTGGCCCAAGTATGTCATCATCCACTGCCTCCCAGCAATATTAGCAGGAAGCTGGATCAGAATTGGAGTAGCTAGGACTCAAACTCTGATATGAGATGCCAGCATTGCAAGCAGCTTAACCCACTGTGCCACCACACCGGCCCCTGGGTGATCTCTTTAATGGATCATTGATTTAAAGAGATGTATCCTCTGTTAGGTGAGAGACAACAGAAAATCTCTTTTGCTAGTATTTATTTTCTGGTCCACTATAAGCTCACTGAAGAATTCTGTGCCTACTTGGAAGAAGAGCTCTTTGGTATCTGGACAGTGAATTTTCTATTTCTGTGTTTACTTTTGATGCACAGCTGAAAGTTTAAAATGGAAGCTATAAACTGTCTTCATCAGTGTCTGTATCACTATGTGTGTCTGTAATTCAGAAAAGCACCAATATCTTTCCACTTCCAGATAATATTAGTAAATTATATTACAAGGTCTCTTAAAGAAACTCTATTCTGATTGGCATATATATATATACATATTTATGTAAATTGAATATTACTGAGATCCCTAGCAACTAAGGAAGTAGAACATCTAATATTTTAAAGATGCTATGAAAAAAGTATTTGTAGAAACTAGCAGAAACATTTTTTGAACTGAAGTTCAAGTCTGGGAAATCTTCAGCAAATGAAGCTAGTTTAATCATTTTATTTAATGAAAATAGGTATGACATTTTTAATTTATTAATGTTAAGTATAACACAAGTATAAATTTTTACATTACTGACATATTATTAATAAACTTTTTGTTTAAGATATGAAAAAATAAATTACTATGAAAAATTTTATTTCAAGCTACTATTGTTT